TTTTGCTGTTCGAAATGCGATTGTCAATAAGTTATATGAAGTGATTTAATTACTGATGCGAAATCGAAATAAGTTTTATAGGTATTTGATTGAATTAGGTTGAGAATAAAATCTGTATATCAATGCCCTCATTTTGTATTTTGATCTGATGTACTCTGTAAGAGAACATTTCTTGAAATGTCTCTGTCCCTTGCTTTGTGATCATTTTAAAAGCATTTCTAAATATATTATTTAGTACTTCTTCTTTTGAAAATCCATGATTTTTATATTTTAGTGTAGAAAACAAAATCAGAAACATGCATCTGGGTGTTAACAGAAAATTATAGGCAATTTAAAAACAAATAAATAAAGTGAAGAGACAAGAGAGGGGCATTTTTATAAGTAAAATTTCCCTCTGTGATTTGGTTGGTGTAGAATCAGTTTCACCCATTGAAGCACGGATACTTCAAAAAGGGTGACGTATCCGTATCGGATACTTATCGGATACCGATACTCCTCGGATACTCGCGGATACGTATCGGATACTTCTTAATTAATTTTTTATTAATTTTGAAGTATCGGATACTTAATTTTAAAGTATCGGATACTCGAAGTTACATATTACTTATAATATTTTGTTTAGTTCTTTGATAAGAGGAATATAGTGAGAGTTAAAGTAATAGAATTTGTCAAATTGATGTATCCTTGTTATCTCTCTCACTTCTCTCTCGCTTCTCTCTCGCTTTCTCACTCTCTCACGTTTCTTCTTTCTGCTCTCATTCTTTTTTTGATGTTGGCATGTAAGGATAATGTTTAATTTGCATTTGCTTTTGCTTTTAGTTTTGGATGTTTTATGAATGCTTGAGCACTTTTAGGTTAATAGGAATCCCTCTCTTTATTTATTAATATACTTTAAGTTTTATTTTCATGCATGTTACATTATTAAAATTATAATTTTTTTTTTTTTACGAATGCATCCCCACTGTACCCGTATCATACTTTTTCAAGTTTTGACATATCGCCATATCCACATCCCCATATCACCATATCCATATTCGTGCTTTCTAGGCTATCATTGATGACTTAAAAAAGTATATTTGCTGAAATTTTTATTTAAGAATGATTTTTTGGCTTTAACTAAGATTTTGTGATATTCACTGATAAAAGGGAACAAGTTGAAGCTATTGACCTTGAAGACTCTTAGTTTTATCGGAATCTTTCTTCTTTATCAAGTTGTCTTTTACTTTAGGTTTTATTTTTATGCACACTGCATTACTAAAAATTGTTAAAATAATATTTTTTACGAACGTATCCCCGCCGTACCCGTATCCTAATTTTTCAAATTTTGTCGTATCGCCGTATCCGTATCGTATCGTATCCGTATCCCGTATCTGTATCCGTGCTTCCTAGGTTTCACCAGAATGAGGGGCAATTCATTCAAATTCACTATAAGCATCCACTCATTTAAAACTAGTGACCTCAGATTTATTTTTCGCGTGATGTATAAACAGTCATTGCTAGATCCATAATGTTATAATAATCATTTTTCTGGTTTGTATTGATATTAAATGCAACGTATAACCCCCTCTGGCCCATAATTTTCTACCTTATAAGACTAGTTATTTCATTTCACCTTTCTATCAGATAGCCTAATTAATGTCGTCACAGCTTGAATGCTCGTCACTATTATTTCATGCCATGGGTTATTGCAAAAATGAGAAATCTTCATCGACTTACTTTTCTACAAGGGTGCCAATCTTTGTAGGACAGGAAAATATTTGTTATCACAATCATGTGTTGTCATGCAAGCCAGGTTCATCCGATATTTTTTTTATGTTTTAGAGGGCAATACCAAGCTAGGAAGGATGGTGGGCGTCGTAGGACGAGATGGTGGGACCTAAAAGGGAATAAACTAGAAATATTTAAGAATCGAATGGATAATGAAGGTACTTGGGACTTAGAAGGTGATGCTAACACTATGTGGAATTCGATGGCCAATTGTATGAGAAGAATCTCAAGGGAAGTGCTTGGAGAGTCGAAAGGAACGGGACCCAGCTCTAGGGAAACTTGGTGGTGGAGGGAAGAGGTTCAAGAGGTAGTTAAGGCAAAAAAAGAGTGCTTTAAAAAGTGGCAGAAGGATAGAACTGAGGAAAACCTTAAGAGTTATAGATTGGCTAATAAGGAGGTCAAGAAAGTAGTGAGAGAGACTAAGTTGAAAGCTTATGATGACCTATACACTAGACTAGATAGTAAGGAGTGAGAGAAGAGGGTATACAAACTTGCTAAGATACAGGAGAGGAAAATAAGAGATTTTAATCAAGTAAAGTGCATCAAGAGTGAGGATTCTAAGGTATTGGTGAAGGATGATGAGATTAAGGAAAGATGGAAGAATTATTTTGAGAAACTGTTAAATGAGGAACATGAAAGTACGACAATAAGGGAAGAAATAGCCAGTAATACGATAAACCAAAGACTATAGGTTCTATCGCAGGATTAGGAACTTTGAAGTGGAGATTGCATTTAAGAAGATGAAATCAAATAAGGCTTTATGACCCAATGATATCTCTATTGAAGCTTGGAAGTGTTGGGTGAAAAAGGAGTTGCTTTGTTGACTAGGTTGTTTAGCAAAATTTTGTTGACTAGGAACATGCCAGATGAGTGGAGGAAGAGTATTTTAGTGCCAATCTATAAGAATAAAGGTGGTGTCCAGAATTGTAACAACTATAGAGGAATCAAGCTAATGTGTCATATAATGAAAGTGTGGGAGAGGGTGATGGAACGCCGATTGCGAGACGTAACAGAGGTGTCAGGGAATCAATTTAGGTTTATGCCTGGTAGGTCAACAATGGAAGCGATCTATCTTTTGAGGAGAGTAATAGAAAAGTATAAAGAAAAGAAAAGAGACATTCATATGGTGTTTATCGACTTTAAGAAAGTATATGATAGAGTACCCCGAGATATAATATGGTGGGTGTTAGAGAAGAAAGGGGTGACAAAAGGCTACATTGACGTGATTAGGGACATGTATGAAGGGGTGGTGATCACTATTAGATTGCCAGCTGGAGAGACAAATGAATTTCCTATCACTGTAGGGTTACACCAAGGATCTACCTTAAGTCCTTATCTTTTTGCTTTAGTTATGGACGAGTTGACGATAAATATTCAGGATGACGTGCCATGGTGTATGCTTTTTGCAGACGATATTGTGTTAGTGGATGAGACTAGAGAAGGAGTTAACACACAGTTGGAGATTTGGAGAAAAGCTCTTGAATCTAAAGGATTTCGGATAAACAGAACTAAGACAGAGTACATGGAGTGTAAATTTAGTAACAGTAACAATGAAAACAGAGGAGAAGTAATCCAAGGATTATTGACCGGTTACGACACTAAACCTATAGAGACGGGTTTGGGTCGTGACATCTGGAGAGACTGGAGTAAATATGGTCCATAAAATTAACGAGGGGTAGCTTAAGTGGATGAATGATTCTGGGGTACTGTGCGATAAATGAATACCCACTAGATTAAAAGGAAAGTTATTATTAAACTAGCGATATTATATGAGCCTGTTGGTACTACAGCCAAGAACCAACATGTAGATAAGATGAGTGTGGCTGAGATGAGGATGCTAAGGTGGATGTGTGGTAAGACTAGACAAGACAGTATTAGGAATGAGTGTATTCGGGAATGGATAGGAGTAGCACCGATAGAAGATAAGTTGAGAGAGAATCGTTTGAGATGGTTTGGTCATATTCAACGGAGATCAACAGAGGCAGTAGTGAAGAGATGCGATGCTGTAATGGTAGATGGAAGTGTTAAGGGACGGGGTAGGCCTAGATTAACGTTGACTAGCGTTATAAATAGAGATATGAATCTACTTAATTTGACTAATGAAATGGCCTTTGATAGGACTGCGTGGAGAAGAAAGATTCATGTAGCCGACCCCATTTGATGGGACTTAAGGCTTGGTTTGGTTTGGTTTGGGTTTGGTATTTGTTGTTCTTATGATTTTCTTGTTACCATTCTCTGCATATGAAAATTTGCAAAGTACCAACTAACTAAATGTTCGATGATAACTTTGATAATTGCATACTTATCCCCACCCTTCAAAAATTAAAATAATGAGTTACCTGGGCTGAGGTAGGGTGAGTTAGGCCCCATTCAGATATAATCCTTCTATCTTTCCATAATTTTTCTCTCATTCACTATAGACTATAGTCTTTGTTTCAAAGTCTAATGCACTCATCACAACATGTTCATACACGCAGTTTTATTGTTCTAGTTTTTTTTGCTTTTTTTTTTTTGACTAGTTTCCCCCCCCAAAGAGTAGCCTTTTCCAAGGCTGCACATTGTTTTGGCCTCCATTATTGGGCACTCCCTTTCTGTTACTCACAATATGCAGAGCCCTTCCCTTTGCTAATTGACTGTCAATAACCATAAGGTCCATAACAGAAAAAATGTCAATATGTTAATACTTCATCACAGTGATTTTAGCCGTATTGAAGTCGATGAAAATGCACAATATCTCCCATTCCCTTATGGTCTTACTGCAATTCAACTAAAAACATGTTACTGATGCATAAAAGTAATCCCATTGTGCCACATCACCATAGTAAATCTAATAGAGCATCTATCGTAACCCAAACAATAGTTGTAGGCCTCCTTGATCTTCTTGGTGAACTCCACCACCACTATTTGCATGCCTTCATTGCCATTCCCAAACACCCACTCTCAATGTCTTGATGTCAGTCATGGGGACAAGTCCCCTATCTTCCGATTTGATCTTTGCTGTGTCACTGACAATGAATAACAAATTGATTTTGTATTCATTGCATTAGTTTCAAAAGATTAGAACAAACTACTTGTAATTGCAACTTTCTTTGTTGGGGTTTTTAATAAAGATGGTGAGGTGGGTGGTGTGATCGAGAGGCAATGCAAAGGTTGAGTTGGGAGGTTTGGACAATGCAGAGGGAGAATCATCATAACAATGACCATGTCATTTCAAAACCCTGCATTGTCACTCAATTCTTGAAGAGGGTCTGGATGTTCAAAGCTGCAATCTCGTTATTAGATTTGATCCATCAGCAACAGTTTGTAGTTTTATTCAGTCCCGTGGTCGGGCACGTATGCAAAACTCAGATTTTTTGTTAATGGTCAGGAGGTATGTTTTATTTTATCCTTTTCACCAATAAAAACATCATGTTCTTTAGGTGAGGGGCTTGATTTTATGACTTTTATCATCTCTGTATGTCTCGTGTCTAAATAATTGTATTTGGCATTCTATATATATGTGTTTTTTTTAAGCTCCTTAGAAATTGGAATTTGCTGATGCTTGAAGTGTGTTGCTTATAGTGTCTCTATTTCATCTGTTTCATAGACGAGGCAGCGATTTCATAGGTGGAGGTGCTGCTGATCATGTTTTTTCCTTTTTGGTTGAATTTGTAGTGGTGATTCTTCTACACTTACTCGAGTGAAAAACTATATTGCTAGTGGAGACATCATGAGGGAGGAATCATTACGCCATGCTTCCCTTCCTTGCGCTTCTCTTGACAGTGAATTGTTTAATGAGGTTCTCTATCGTGTTCAAAGCACGGGAGCAGTTGTGACTCTAAGTTCTAGTGTGGCTTTGATATACTTCTATTGCTCACGATTGCCTTCTGATGGGTTTGTTCAAGCACTCTATTTTTCATGTTATTAAAGTACTATTAGTGTCTTTGTGATTGTTAATTCTATATTGATACTTGTATTTAGTTTTTCTACCATGACCTAATGTATTCATTTGGTTTTGTTGTTTGCAGGTATTTTAAACCTTCTCCTCGTTGTGAAATTGATAAGGATTTGGAAATTTGCACGCTAAATTTTCCCAAAAGTTGCCCAGTACAAACCGTTAGAGTTGAGGGTAATATCAAAGTGCTCAAGCAACTTGTATGCCTAGAGGCATGCAAGCAGCTTCATCAGAAAGGTGCATTAACTGATAATCTTGTGCCAGATATTCTCATGGAAGAAGCCGATGAACAAGAATCCGGTAAATATAAACAGTGTTAATTTTTGTTAGTCCTTTGACTTTTTATACCATGTTACTGCCCTTGTTTAATTAGTATTAGTATTATTTTTGTGTAGGGTATGAACCTTACGTTGATGATCAAGTGGAGTACTTCCCACCTGAATTGGTTCATAATTGTACAAATGATTCTGTGAGGACATACCATCGCTACTTGATTGTGCTCAAGCGAAATTTTGAATATAATATCCCCCGGATTTACATATCTGCCACTGTGAGAACCAAGCTCGAGGAGCTTGTTTTAAGCCATAGAGGGCCTTGTGCAATTTACAAACAAGGGATGGATGTTTAGCATCAATAAAACCTTGAGGTTGATGCATATAAACTTCCTCTTCAAGAATGCCATGAAGAAAGGCATTTGAAATGTCAAGTTGCTTAATGGGCCAATGAAAATGAAGGGCTAGACATAAGAGAACTCGGATGGTAGGTTGTTTAGCTACAGGACTAAATGTTTCATGATAGTCGACACCCTCAGTTTGAAGAAAGCCTTTAGCAACAAGTCTAGCTTTGTGTCTTGCAATAGAACCATCTGAGTTTTTCTTGAGCCTAAATACCCACTTGCAGCCAATAGCTTGTTTATCAGGAGGAAGAGTAACTAAAGACCAAGTACCTTGGTTTTGAAGAGCTTGATATTCATCTAACATAGCAGCTTGCCAAGCTGGAGACTGAGCAGCTGCTTGATAATTCTGTGGCTCAGTAGAATCTGCAGAATCTGTAGAAGCAAGAAGACAAAGGGAAGAAGAGGAAGCAACATGATTCTTACTCTTGGACCTAGTGATCATAGGATGAGGAGGAGGATGAGAAGAAGAGATTGGAGGAAGATCAATGTAGAGAGATGAAATAGGCAATTGAGAAGAAGGAGGAGCAGACAGAAGTGATGAAGGGGCTACAGATGAAGGAGAAGCTAAAGGAGAAGCTGATGGAGACAAAGAAGGAACAGCCGCAGAAGTAGGAAGAGTTGCTGCAGACAGAGTAGGTGTGGCTGTTGCAGACATAGAAGAAGCCTCTGCAGCCAGAGGAGATATGACTGTAGATTTAGGAGGAAGTGATGTCCAGAAAAAATTAATTAAAGAAGGAAGAGTAGGAACAGAGGAGGAGATAGATGAAGGAAAGCTAGAGGAAGATTGTTTAAAAGGAAAAAGAGATTCATCAAACACAACATGTCTAGACACATAGATCTTCTGAGTAAGAGGGTCAAGACATCTATAGCCTTTAGTAGATGGTTGATAGCCAAGAAAGATGCAGGGAATAGATTTTGGTTGGAGCTTATGAGAAGAATAAGGCCTTAACCAAGGATAACACCTACAACCAAAAACTCTTAAGAACTGATAATCTGGTTTGTGATGAAAAAGAATTTCAAATGGTGTATGATTTTACAACTTAAGAGTAGGTAATCTATTGATCAAGAAGACTGCAGTAGCAAGAGCATCAAACCAGTAAATCAATGGCATGGAAGAATGATGCATAAGAGTGATAGTGGTTTCAATTAAATGTCTGTGTTTTCTTTCTGCAACACCATTTGAGCAGGTGTATGAGGACATGTTAATTGATGAACAATACCTTTTTGTTTAAGAAAGTGTTGAAAAAGAAGACTAAGGTATTCTCCCCCATTATCACTTCTTAAAATTTGAAGATGAGTAGTAAATTGAGTTTCAACAAAGGCCTTAAATTCCAGAAATTTTGAAAAAACTTCACTTTTATAATGAAGAGGAAAAATCCAAGTGAACTTACTACAATCATTAATGAAGAGAACATAGTATTTATAACCAGAATAAGAGGCTGAAAAGGGGCCCCAAAACATCTGTGTGAATAAGGGCTAAAGGCTTGTTAACAGTAGAGTTAGACAAACAAAAAGGTAATCTATGACTTTTTGCCACACAGCAGGATTCACACAGAGCAGAGTTATTATTGGAATTATGTACAGGAGATGAATGCATGAATCTATTGTGTGCTAAAACATGCTGAAATTTTTGAGAAGAAGGATGACCCAGCCGGAAATGCCAGTTGGATACAGCAGACTGCTTTGGACAGTTAGATGCAGCAGATTACTTTGTACAGGAGAAGCAGGCTGGTGAAGAAGAAGATGCAGAAGATGATGAAGAAAGGGGATAGAGGCCATGAGCATAAGATCCTCTATGCAGCACTTTCTGAGTAGCCTTGTCCTGAATCAGAAAAGAATGAGAATCAAAAGTAACAGTACAATTGTTGTCCTTAGTTAGTTGATGAATGGAAAGTAAGTTGGAGGAGATAGAAGGAACATAAAGGAGATTGTGAAGTTGAAAAGGAAATGTAGGTGTGAGAAGAAGACCCTTACCAGTGTGAGTGATAGGTAGAGTGGAGCCATCACCGACAGCAACTTGATCTTGTCCAGAATAGGGATGATAAGAGGAGAAATTAGCAAGATCATTAGTCATATGACTGGTTGCACCAGAGTCAAGAAACCAGTTTGAAGAGGATGCAGGTGTGGATGCTACAGATGAAGGTGAGGCAGAAGCAATATAGGCTGTGGGACTGGTTTGAATAAAGGAGGTTTGATGTGGACTATTCTGTGAACTATTCTGAAAAGATGAATCCATTCTGTACCAGCAGTCTAGTGCAGTATGGTTCAGCTTTCCACAGATCTGACAAACCACAGCATTATTAGGATTAAAGTTGGGCCGACCTCTGTGATATTGACCACTACCTCTGAGAGGACTACCATGCTGTGAACTGCCTCGGAACCGACCACTACTCTCTGAACCTCTGGAACCTTTTGAACTTCTGAAAACTTCTGAACCTCTAGGAGAGGAACCTCGGCCTCGAAAAGAAACGCGATGACCTCCTCTGTTACCTCCTTTATAGTTTCCTTTTGTTACAGAATAAGCAAATGGAATTTCAGCTGTATGAGTCTGTTTCAGGGAAGACTCAATATGAATAGACTCTGAACACAGTAATGAAGACAAATCTTCCATGGAAATAGGATCAGATCGAGCTCTAATGGTGGTCTTGAAAGCATTGTATTCATCTGGCAAACCATTAAGAACTAAGAGAACCAGATCCTCATCGTCAACTGGTGCTGAAGCTAGAGCAAGCTGATCTGAAATGGACTTGAATTGATTCAAGTAGTCTTCCATTGTTGAACCTTTTTTAACAATACGACTGAGTTTATTTTTCAACTGATGAATATGAGATCTCGAAAGAGAGGTAAACCTTTTGGCAAGAATAGACCAGACTTCATGGCTAGTCTGACAATGAATAACAGAAGTGTAGAGAGACGAAGACAATGTAGCTGTGATGCAACTCAACAGATGTGAATCAATAGTGATCCACTGTGTGTAATCTGGATTCAGAACTTCTTGATTGTTTGAGTCAATCACAATAGAGGATGGACATATGATAGTACCATCAACAAATCCAAGAAGCTTTGTAGCTTTCAAGATGTTATGAATCTGACTTTTCCAGACAATATAATTGGTTGAATCAAGTTTCGTAGGCACAAAAGCATTCAGGTTTGAAATTAAGAGTGTAAGATTTGCAGGTAAAGAAGAACTTGAAGGTGTAGGGTTTGAAGAAGCCATAGCAATATCTCAAAGGATTTCTGCTCGCAAGAGCTTGATGGCTCTGATACCATAAAGAGAATGTGACTCTTTTTTTTATTCAAAAATGCAAGATAGAATTACAGAACTTGTATTTATAGAGAAACCATAACTACCTTCTAACCTCCTAACCTAACCATAACTGCAATCTAACCATAACTGCAATCTAACTCTAGTTCTAACAAACTAACTAAATAACAACTTGCAACCTTTAGTTGAGCTGGACTACTATAAGCTGTTGCAGAGCTTTAGTGCTGCTGGTGCAGCTGTTGCAGAGTTAGCTTGAGCCTCATCCTGAGCATTATGCTTAACAACTACATTTGAAGAGTTTTTGAAGGTCTTTAAATAGTTTGTGTCTATAGATAGGTAAATAAAAAGTAACATTGGAGTGCACAAATAAAAAAGGAATTAGGTAAAATAAATATGATTGGAGTTGCTTTAAGTCATGCCCAAAATAACCCTTCATCACGTAATAATATAATAAACAAACAGGAAAGATCGGTGGACATAGGCTATATTGGCCGAACCAAGTTAAATGAGCCAATTTCTCATGATGATATTTTTTTTGGTTCCATATTTAATTTTTCCCTACTTTTATTTTTTGATAATAATAATAATATAGCACCACTACATCTACACAATTTTTACAGTTCAAATCTATATAATTGAGATGAAAAAAATTGTATAGAGGAATCATTAATTATAATAATAATAATACCTGGTGAATTGAAGGATGGTACCCCACGTAATCGAGAGCAACTTCTAAAGCGGTAAAGCCATCGCAATTCACTATCTCTGACCTAACTCTCTTGTCCCATGTCAAAATGCTCACTATCTCAGCATGAGCATTCTTTGTGGCCAAAAGCAATGGGGTGTTTCCATCTTCGTCTGTGTCATTGATAAGCATCTCAAGCTCAGGGGCTTTAAGCATATAACTAACAATGTTGGCTTTCCCACTCTCAGCAGCAACGTGAAGAATATTTTGTCCTCGTTCATTTAGCAACTCTCTTGAATCTGGAAAACATCGTAGAAACTCCTTAACAACGTCAATATGGCCTTGGCTCGATGCCTCATGAATGGGATAAGACCCATCATCGTCTCTTTGGTATGTGCAATCAACAAATGTGTCCAGGATGTAGCAAACCCCATCAACATAACCTATGGATGCTGCATATGAGAGAGGTTTCTTCCCTTTTGTGTCAGGTGCATCCAGAAGAGATGAAACATACTTCAATGCTGTCTCAAGAACAACTGCAATTTTTTTTTTTAAAACAAAGATTATGACCCCGATTCATTAGGAAATAAAAATAAAATAAAATATTGCAAACTCATTGGCCTTGCATGCGTCATGCTTTATGCCTCCCGTTCTAGCATGTGTTAGCTCTACTCCATGCATATTTTGGCATTGTTTTGACCTGCCTTGGGACTGTTTTGAGTCATCTTGGCCCTTTGGGGCTTGCTTGATATGGCTATGGTGCAAGTGTCTTATCTAGTCTTGAGTTTTGAGCACCCTACTATGTTATATTTGTGATGGTTGCATGTCTTGGCATCGTTTAACATGTTATTTCAGAGCATATACATATGTCATGTTCTCACTTCTTTCACTCCTTGAGAGTTTTTGAGGGTTGTGTCTTTGTGCATTGTTAATGAGCCATCAAATGAGCATGTTCTCCTTGTGTTGTATGCCTTGATCTTAACATATTTTAGCCACTGTTTTAGCATGTTCGACCTCTGTCCGGGGTTGGTTTGACCATTTGAGATTGATAGTGCATGCCTCATGTGTAATA